TTGCCCTGTCCTGCTTCCACAGGCATCAAAGATTTGCTCTGACTCAGTTGCCCTCTCATCTCCCTTCAACCCTCTGTACAGCCCACCCGACACACCTTGCCTTCCTCTTTTACATTCTCTGCATCTACTTCAGCCCCGCCCTGCTTTTGTTTCAGCCCACTCTTTCAATTACTATATTCAATCACTCAGAACCTTTGACCTTATGTCCCATCCATTTGGCAAACCTAAGAGAGGATTAATCAAATTATGTTTCTAAACATTATTCTGAGTGAGAATTGCAAAGCTGTCTGAATTAATGCCACGATGAGTTCCTGGCTTCACCTCTGTGCTCCCCATCCATCTCTTCAGCCTTCTCCCAACAGCTCTGCCAAACCTTCCCTGTCTCCTCAGGTGACCCTCCCCACCGGTTCTTGGTGTTGTCTTTTTTTTTTTCCAAGATTTATTTATTTATGCATACAAGAGTTGGAGTACAGACCAGAGGTGTGGGGGTGAGAGGATTCACCAGAGACAGAGTGGGGAACAGAACAGGCAGACTGACTGAAATATACTGCTGAGGGGAGCAGCGGGCGAGACAGGAGAGGTCTGCTGTGCCATGTGGGTAGCTCCCTGGCCAGGGATCGAACTAGTGCTACAGTGGCTGGCAATAGCTTGATAGTGATGTGTCTTTAACCCCTGTGCCACCAGGGAGGCCCTCTTGGTCTTGTCTTAACAACAACAGCAATGCAAAAATAGCTACTGGGGCTTTTCTATGTCTCTGTCTTAACCTATAAACATCTTTTTCCTCTTGTCTAAATGGAAGAGATGTTTTTCCCTTTGCCTGAGGTTCCTTCTCCCAGTGTCCTGTTCTCTTCTGCTCCCTTGCAAGTCTCCCCCCATGAGTTCCCATCTTTGCAGCCATCTTGTCAACCTTCCTCCTTACGGGCTCTCCTGGCATGCACCTGTGCTGGTCCCTCCTGACAAGATACTTCCTCACCTTTATGGCTTCCTGTAATTATCACTCCCTTACCTTTCCAGATAATTTTTTTTTTTTTTAAGTAATCTGTAACCTCTGGACTTCTTTTTTTTTCCTTCTTTATGTTTAACCGATGGAAACTTCACTATTCTCGGGCCTCCCTGGTGGCGGTGGCGCAGCGGGTTGTGTGCAGCACTGTGGAGCTGTCCGCAGCCTCTGCAGCGCAGGTTTGATTCCTGGCCCATCAGGGAGCTTCCCCCCTGATGCGGCAGACCTCTCCTGGCTTGCCAGCTGCTCCCCTCAGCAGTGTATTTCAGTCAATCTGCCTGTTCTGCTCCCCAGTCTGTCTCTAGTGGATCCTTTCACCCTCCTGCACCTCTGGCTTGTACCCCAGCTCTTGTATAAATAAATTAAAAAAAAAAGAAACTTGACTATTCTCATATCTCTAAAATAAACTCGCCTCACTTACCAGTGCCCATGTGGAAAAACATGGGCAGTTTGTATATGTATTGCAATATACATATTGCAGTCTGTATAATGCTGATGATTTCCTCCTTGGAAATTCTTTTGTGCATCCATGAGTGAGTCTCTCATTTCCCCTCCTAACCTCTCTACCAGTTTCTATCTTAGGCTGGGTTCTCCCAGAAGCAAAAAGAAAAGAACTGAGTGTGAGCAGTTTATTTGGGAGGTAACCCCAAATAACTCTGGTAGCAGAGTGGGGAGTTGACACAGGAAAAGAAAATCAATAGAGGGTTTGCTAATGAACAGATTATGGCTGCCGGCAGCTGGGGTTCAAGTCCACTGAGGAATGTCCGGGAGACTATGGAATATAAATCTCCAAGTTGCTCCAGCTGAGGAATGATGTCCTGTGATATTTAGGCACCATCTGGGAGGAAAACATTTTCTTCTGTCTTCTTAGGTTCAGTTCCTGGGGGCCTGAGAATTTAACTGACAAGAGATGAACAGGAGGAAAAAAAATTCATTTATGTACATGGAAGAAGAGATTCCCTAAATGAGGGGGGGGGGCGTGGAGGAGAGAAAAGGTTTCTATGTTTCCATAGAACAAAAAGGTTCCTAGAGGAATAAAGGAGAAATAAGGAATTTGTGACATTTTCTGTTTATGAAGGTGTCTGTGATCTCCACTTTTTTTTTTTTCAAGGCCATAAAACTGCCCCATGGAGAGGATTTTTGCTTTTAATGAAAAAGAGAGGCTCCTAGGTTTCTGTATCTGTTGAATCTTAGATGCTTTTAGTTTCAAGTACGTGTCAGAGCAACTCTGGGAGTGCAAGTAGATTCCCACATCACTAACTCCCTAATATCACTGGTTGAGGGTTCTCCCTCGAGGTATTCATTCCCTGGTAATGCCAGCCTGTGTCCATTGCTCCTCCTGCAGGAAAAAGACCCTCGGTGGAGAGTCCAAGTGTAAACGCTGAGTTCCCAAGGCACATAGGCAAGGCATGAAGAGATACTTGCCAGTTCTCCTCTGATTTTTCTCTTCCATCCCTATTTCCTTAATGCTGATATTTCCCAAGTGTCTATCATTCCACCTCTGCTTTTCCACTCTTCATTTTTGCTAGTTGATCTGATCAACTCTTGTACTACAATTACTTAAGACTTTGATATCTTGGGAATCTGTATTACCTCCCTCTCTCTTAAATCCTTGCCCTGCACACCTGTTGATTGCCGCACACACCTTGCGACTTACCTTGGATTGCTCACTGCAAACTCAACACGTGAAAAATTGAAATTATAGTCTCTCAAATCCTGTGTTTCTTCCATTAGTTCCTATTTTGTCTTGCTTTTCTAGAAATCCATTGCTATTGCTGCCAAGGATCTTTCTAAAATACCTAGCCTACAGCATGGCCAGGCATAGTGTGGGGATACAGTGGTGAACAAGACAAATGAGTTTCCTGTTTTCACAAGCTTGAAGCCTACAAATACATACATATAAACAGGAAAAAAATATCAGTGATAACTTCCATGCAGCGATTGGGAGGTTACTTTAGATTAGGAGGCCAGGGAAGACCTTGGTAAAGAGACGTTAGCTTAGAGTCGAATGACAATAAAGGGACATCCACATGTGGGGTAAACACCCCAGACTGGGCAGGGTCATGGTTTATTAGAGCAAATGGAAAAGGATCTTGAAGCTCTTGGTATATCTGACATAGTTTTAATGCTGAAGCAGGGAACCAGGCACACAGGCAGACTAGCTGGCAGACTAGCTGGCAGAGAGGCAGGCATGAGGGAGGCGGGCATGAGGGAGGCAGGCATTAAGGGGGCAGGCAGTAACCGAGCTCATGGTTCCCACCCTCCATCTCCCTGCTCTCTCCCTGACTTCTCTCCTCTCCCTTGTATCCTTTGCTTCTTAGCCCAGGGGTCCTATAAATGTGCAAGCCCTGTGCTTGTGTCCCCAGCACTTTTTGCAACAACATGCTATCACGTGTGGGTAATGAAACCTAGGAGGAAAACAAGGCCACAGGTGGCAGCCTCAGAGTCTAGCAGTGGGAAGGTGAAAACGCCTGAGTAACTCCATTTTCCCTGCACCACATCAGGGGGAAAGGCTTTGAGACCGTGGGTTGTCACTTCCCAGCTGAATCCCCATCGTGGCTTCCCAAAGTCTTCACATAAATCCAAATTTCTTAGCATGGCTGAGATGGTCTCCCACTATGTGGCCAGTTGTCATCCTCTTTATATCAGAAGATATTAATTCGTTTCATCCTCACAACCACCCTGCAAACCTGCAGCTAAGCTGGCAGAGTCCCAGGTTCTGTGTCACGTGTCTTTGAACTGCCACTGCATTGTCAGTTGTCCGGACAGATGTTCATTCAAAGAGCAGGTGTTGGGCAAAAAGGACAGCCAATTAATAAATGCCCAGCTGAAATACCGTGTAAGCCAGATACGTCATTTAAAATGTAATTTATGGGCCTCCCCGGTGGCGCAGCGGTTGAGCGCTGGGTTGTGAGGCTGCCCGGGGCCTCTGCAGCGCCGGTTCGATCCCCGCTGCTCCCCGGCCACCTGAGGAGGGTCCCGCATGGCGCAGACCTCTCCTGCCGCCCGCTGCTCCCCTCAGCAGTGTCCTTCGGTCCTTCTGCCTGCTCTGCTCCCCGCTCTGGCTCTGGTGAATTATCCCACCCTCCTGACTGTACCAAGTGCTTATATAAATAAATAAATAAATAAAATTAAAAAAAATAAAATGTAATTTATTTTCAAAGTTACATTAGACAAGTAAAAGAGACAGATGACATAGTAGTAACATTTTATTTAATGGGATAGATCCAAAATATCAATTTAACATGGTTAACATCATCTTGATGAGTCAGTTTACATTCTTTCATTCTACTCCATCGCCTTAACCACTCTGCCCACAATCCTATTTATGCTTCTTTTTTAAAAGCTTATTTATTTATTTATACAAGCATTGGGTATAGTCAGAAGCGTGGGAGGGTGAGAGAATTCACCAGAGACAGAGGGGGAACAGAACAGGCACACTGATGAAGAAATACACTGCTGAGGGGAGCAGCGGGCGCGGCAGGAGAGGTCTGCGCGCCATGTGGGACCCTCGCCCGGCTGCTGGGATCGAACCGGCGCTGCAGAGGCTGCGGGCAGCTTCACAGCCCAGCGCTCAAGCTGCACCACCGGGGAGGCCCACACCTACATATCATTTCACTCTAAATCTTCAAAACCCAGCATGTGCATTTCACACGTCCAGCTTCCCTCAGGTGGTCACCCCATGGCTGGATCTAGCGGGTCCCCCTCGGACTGTCCCCTAGGCCTTCCAGCCCTGCTCTTCCTACACTACCTATCTTCTTTGCAGCCCTTACCGGCGCCCCCAGTTCTCTCATTTGCTCGGATGTCATGACTCCCGGACTGCACAGGGCCAGGCCGGCCGGGCTCACCTTGCATGGAGCCGGCAGAGCGCGCGCGGCCTCCACCCGGCCCCTGCCCGGGCTGCAGCCCCCGACCGCCCCTGGCGCGCCCTCCCCCGGGCGGGTCCAGCTATCCGGCCCGGAGCGTGGACGTGACTGGGAGGAGCCGGCCGCGTCGGGTTTCCGCGCGCAGGGAGGGAGCATGGCGGAGCCCACCGTGTGCTCCTTCCTCACCAAGGTGCTGTGCGCCCACGGCGGCCGCATGTTCCTGCAGGACCTGCGCGCCCACGTGGAGCTGTCGGAGGCGCGGCTGCGGGACGTGCTGCGCCAGGCCGGGCCCGACCGCTTCCTGCTGCACGAGGTGGAGCCCGGCGAGGGCGCGCCGGGCGCCCAGGCCCAGGCGGCGGCGGGCCCCGGCGCGCGGGCCTGGCGGGTCGTGGCCGTGTCCTCCGCGCGCCTCTGCGCCCGCTACCAGCGCGGCGCGTGCCAGGCCTGCGACCAGCTGCACCTCTGCCGCCGCCACATGCTGGGCAAGTGCCCGAACCGCGACTGCTGGTGAGCGCGCCCGGCTGCGGGGGACCCGGCGGCCTCCCGGCGGCGCGGTGGGCGCGCGCGGGCCGCGGGCCTGGTGGAGCAGGGGCGGGCGGGACCCCGGAGGAATGAGAAAAAGGGGCCCTTTGTCCCGGGGGCGGGCGAGCCCCTTCGAAAAGGCGGGAGGGAAGCTTCTGGAAGGGGCCCCCACCGAGGCCTGGGGGAGGCCTCTTTTGCACCCCCAGCTTCAGAGCGGACTGAGACTGCAAGTCGTTTCAATTGGCATTTCTTAACCTGGTCAAAAAATAAAATGCAGCTGCAACAGCCTCTGGGATCCCTGAATAAATGGGGATGGAGCGCCTTTACTCCAGTGGCCCTTTGGGGTGCATTTGAGGATTCCCCTAAACCCTTTATTGAGAGACTGCCGGCCCCCTCATAACCGCAGAGTTTCCCTGGAGGGAGGCTGTGCTCTCCGGATGTGGCCGCCAGCCAGTGGGGCAAGGGCCTCCTGAGGCCACCTCTGAGGCCACCTCTGAGGCCTGCCTCCGTGGTTGACTCTGGGGCCTCCTGAGCAGGACTGGGCAAGCTTTGTTTGTAACCTTGGTGGACAGTGGCGGTGGGCAGCGGTCTGGGGTGGAGAAGGAAGTGTAGCCACTCATTGCACTGGTGGGCACCCCAGTCAAGGCAGAGACCCGGAGGGGAGGCACCCTTGGCTTTAAAGCAACTTCATTTGAAATGAAAATGACCCTGGAGGGGAGTTGCTTCTATCCAACTTTTTAATTACCCGTGCGCGCTCAGTAGGCTGTGCTGTCTGTGGGTTCATGAAAAATTATTTGATTTCACATGTAAGTTGAAACATGTGCTCAGGTTACATTTGGTCAGCAATGCACACCGAAAAAAAAAAAATGCCCTAGGCAAAGAATTCAACAGACTGGAACTTTCTTCGTCTGGGCATCTGATGCAGAGCTTTGTATTCTAGGTCTACCTGCACTCTGTCCCATGATATCCACACACCTGTCAACATCCAGGTGCTGAAAAACCATGGACTTTTTGGCCTCAATGAGGCCCAGCTTCGAGTTCTGCTTTTGCAGAATGACCCCTGCCTTTTACCTGAGGTGAGTCTCCAAAGTGTCACCCCCGTGTTGTCTACGCCTGAAAGAAATCAGTGGGGAACATGAAAAGTCTGCTTGTAGAGGACAGCCTGCGGGTACAGGGAGGGGTGAAGGCATAGGGCTGATCTTTGTGGAGGCTGTGATTTTGCTGGGCTTTGATGCACATAGTCATGGGTTTGTGTGGTCTAGAAATAGTAAGAATGGCTTCTGGCTTTTGGGGTGCTTCCTGAATGCTAAGCAATTCCTGCACCTTAGTCCTTAATAACCCGTCCTCATTTTACAGGCGAGGAAACCTGGACTCAGAGGGATTAAACAACTTGCCCAGGGTCACTCAGTAAACGACAGATTTGAATTTAGTTCTGACAAGAGAACTGCTTTTAGTGGCTTGCCTGTTTATGCTTTCACTTATTTTACTGTTAAGGCATTTGTCTTTCCTGTTGATTAATAAGATGCCTTTAATGATATAAATTTTTTGGTCACATTTGTTGCAAGTATTTCCCCCATTTACTTTATTGAGGCTTTATTTATTAATTTTAATTGCTTTGAAATCACATGACTTTGTTCCAAATGCTTGAAACGACTCATTATAACTGCTGTCTGGCATAATTAGCATGTTTGTATCTGTTTAGCTATACACAAAGAATTTTTTTAAACAATCTAGTTGGAGCCCTCGAGGAAAATATTCGAGAGACTTTTGATTCAATGTAGAATTTTGTAATCTAGCACAATGATTCTAGCGTAGAGACTCCCAGGTTGACAGAAGAAGGGTGTGAAGGTGGGGCGGTGTTGGGAAAATAGAGAGTAGTGCCCCATCATGACCTCATTTTAAATCCCAGGTATTTCGGGGTCTGGAAGGGAAGACAGTGGCAACACTGGAGGTGTGCTGGGTTTTTGTTCAGCTGAGGGGGCTGCCCTGCAGAATCCCTACCCAGAGGCAGCACTGGCCTCAGCTTTAGGAGTCCAGAGGCTTCCTCTTGGCATCTGGGTCTTTCCTAATTTCTTCAAGCTTTGAAGCCAGGTTTGGCACATGTGCTGAGGAGCCTGACACCTTCCAACCACGTGGCCTAAGAGGAGTGGGAGCTGCAGCTGGAGCGGGCTGTTGGCAGGAAGGGAGAGAGGATGGCAGCAGTTAGGAGGCAGGGTCCAGTCTCTTAGAGTCATGTCCATGTAAAATATAGTTCCATCCTGCCACTTCACGGTGTAATTCTGCTTATTAGAATAATCAGATGACGTTAAATCAGGCCATTATCTGAACTAATTAAATTGATATAAAAATATTAAAATAGGGCCTTCCTGGTGGTGCAAGGGTTTAAATCTCAGCAGTAATGAAGCTGTCTGCAGCCACTGTAGCACAAGTTTGATCCCTGGCTAGGGAGCTACCTACATGGCCCAGCCTTGCCTACTGCTCCTGCCTCACTCGCTGCTCCCCTCAGCAGTGTATTTCAGTAGATCTGCCTGTTCTGCTCCCACTCTGTCACTGGTGAATCTGCTTAGCCCCTGCACCTCTGACCTACACCCCAGCTCTTGTATTAAAAAAATTTGAATCCCGTATTTTCACCCTAATGTTGACAGGTGCTGGTAAAAATGCTGTCAACCAAAGTCCTTGAGTCCATGTCTATATAAAGAGGGAGAAGAAGAAATAGAAAGCCAGAATAGTCCTTTCCTTCCCAGAAGGTAAAAGTGCTAATATAAACATTTTAAAAACTCCACAAAACCGGAGCATTTGTTAAATTCTTCTACAGGAAAACATCAGGCTCAGATAGTTTCATCACTGAGTTCTGTTACCTCTTTAAGGAACAGAATATTCTGATTTTTGGACTAGGTCTAGGTTCTACTTTTCTTGATCAGGACATTCTTCAGCCAGTATCACGCCATCTGATTAAAGTAGCTTTAATATATAATAGTACATCTCTGTGCCTATTACTCTTCTTTTTCAATTTTTTCCCTTTAATCCTCACTTGTTTCTATTTCCAGATAAGCTTTAGAATTATTTAAATCCCTAAAAATATTTTACAGAAATTCTTTGGTGGTGGATGGTGAAATTGCTCTAAAATTATGAGTTCATTTTAGGAAATTGGCATGTAGGGCGCCATTTTGTTTTAAACTAGGTCACTTGTGTCCAGTAGAATTTCCCATGTTTTAGATTTGACTGATTGCATTACTTATAACATCATTTAGCATGTTCTTCTACTACCTTAATTTACTATATGAAATATAAACTTACTGTGTGAAAATTACTACTTTTTTAAAGATTTATTTATGCATACAAGAGCTGGGGTACAAGCCAGAGGTGCAGGGCGGGGTGGGGAGTGGTGAGAGGATTCACCAGAGACAGAGTGGGGAGCAGAATAGGCAGATTGACTGAAATACACTGCTGAGGGGAGCAGCGGGTGAGACAGAAGAGGTCTGCTGTGCCCTGTGGGTCAGCTCCCTGGCTGGGGATGATGAAACTTGTGCTGCAATGGCTGCTGATAGCTTCATAGTGCTGAGACTTAACCTCTTGCACCACCAGGGAGGCCCTGTAAATTAAAATTATTGTAAACAGTGAAGATTTGTTTGGATTTAAGTTTGATTTCATAGTAACATTTCTTTGTATACATGGTGCACCGATGAGGTAGCTAACCCTCCTTGCCTGCCTGGGACTGGGGGGCTAACAGTGATGTCAGACTTTGCTGCTAAAACTTGTACAGCTATATTACCTGGCATGCAATATCTGAGCATCTTTTTTGAGTGTGATTTTAAGATTGATTGATTAGTGGTTTCAGGGTTGATGGCTCGATATATCATAAAGTTCCCCATCAGCTATGTCTTGGTTTGCCTTAGGTAGATCCAGTTTACATCAGTTGTCCCAATGTAATTATTAATAATGCTTCCCAAAAAATGTCCTTGTCTGGGTGATAAATGATCTGTTCGCGCCACCTGTCTAGATTGGTTTCCCTGGAGTCGAGCCTGACATAGGGATTTAGGTGCATATGATTTATTGAAGGAGGGGTCCTTGGGGAAAACTCTGTGAGGTAAAAGAAAGAAGCAGGATACAGGGAAGGAAGAGCACAGTCTGACCTTGACTTGATTCACCCGGGGCTCTGCAGCAAAGTGCCCTGAAGAACTGTTCTGACCTTGAGGCCAGGGGGTCAGCTTTGGGTACCAAGTGTTTCCAGAGAAATCACTCACTGGCAAGAGGCTTTGGGAGCTGAGGGCAGGTCAACTGAGGGACTAAGTGTGGGAGGGGAAGCTGTGAGTGGTAGCGGCTGGGTGAGATTGTGGGGGTGGGTACCCTGATAAAACCCAATGATTGTAAGAGCCATTTATCAGAAGTTGCTACTGAGAGAACCTCTCATTTCTTGGCTTAAAAAGCAGAGAAGAGGGGCGTCCCTGATGGCACAGGGGTTAAAGTCTCAGTGCTATCAAGCTATCACCAGCCACTATGGCACGAGTTTGATCCCAGCCAGGGAGCTGACCCACATGGTGCAACAGACCTCTCCTGTGTTGCCCGCTGCTCCCTTCAGCAGTGTATTTCAGTAGATCTGCCTGTTCTGCTCCCCACTCTGTCTCTGGTGAATCATCTCATGCCTCGTACCTCTGGCAGTTACACCCCAGCTCTTATATGCATAAATAAATTTAAAAAATAGAGAAAAATGACTGTTTTGAGTGTTGCCTTATTTCTGTACAGGTCTGTTTGCTCTACAACAGAGGTGAAGCGGTTTATGGCTACTGCAACCTCAAGGACAAATGCACCAAGTTTCACGTGTGCAAATCCTTTGTGCGAGGAGAGTGCAAGCTTCAGAAGTGCAAGCGGTCTCACCAGCTCATTTACGCCACAGCCCTGCAGTTGCTGCAGGACCAAGGGCTGAATATTCCCAGTGTCGTTAATTTTCAGATCATCTCCACCTATAGGCACATGAAGCTGCACAACATGCTTGAAAACAATGGTGAGATACTCAGAGGCAGACAAAGCACTGTCAACCACGTAGGTCTCACCCAAAAGTGAGTCTGGGGGGGAAGCACTTCGTACATGAAGTGCTCCTCTGTTCTTGCGTAAGCTTAGAATTGTCAACATTTCATGATATATTGGGCCTCCCTGGTGGAGCAAGGGATTAAGACATAACCTATGAAGCTGTCCTCAGCCTCTGCAGCACGAATTAGATCCCTGGCTGGCCAGGGAGCTACCCACATGGTGCAGCAGACCTCTCTTGGCTTGCCCACTGCTCCCCTCAGCAGTGTATTTCAATCTGTCTGTTTGTTCCCCACTCTGTCTCTGGTGAATCCTCTCACCCCCCACACCTCTGGCCTACACCCCAGTTCTTGTATGCATAAATAAATAAATCTTAAAAAAAAAACATTTCATGATATAGAAGGTGATACTAACCAAAGGAAGGAAGCCATGGGCTTTGTCTTCAGCACTGCCTGCTAATAGCATCAGCCCAAGTGTTTGAGTAGCTCGCTAGTATAGGGAGAACAACCTTAAGAGGGAAAACATAGGAAGGAGATGGGCCACGGATCGCAAGGTCAGGATAACGTGTGAATGGCTTTCCTCGATAAAACGGAATTAAAGTTATTTTTCTTTTAACTTTTAAGAAATTTTAGCCACATCACAGAAAAATTTGGAAGATAGAGAGTAGAACCATGCATGGTCAGCTTCCACTCGCCGTGGTGCACAGTAATTATTAATTGCAGGCGGACCCTTCAGTCCCATTATCATGCAAATACTAGCCCAGATGTGGTCAGAGTATGAGTTAGTTTAGCGTCTTAAAATTTCACTTTCTACAACATGAGAGGAATCAGTGATAGGAAACCAACTCACAACATCAGAGCTGCCGCTAAGCCTCTGTGGTTTTCCGATGTTGGGCTGGCGGTGGCTGACTTCTGAGCAGTCAGTTTGAAGGCAGGGAGGACTCTGCACATAAAGTCAGAGGCCATCAGGGAGCTCCAAACGGGGCAGGTCCCTTCTCTATCCTGCACATGGGGCCTGTCGTCATTTTCTCCTGGCCTTGCGTAGTGGGTCTCTCCTACATACAAAAGAGAGACTTTTGCTGTTGGGCTGTGAGTGTGTGTTCATCTCCAAACTCTCTACATCAACGTGTTGGGAGTTTTGTCTGAAATCTGATTAGCTGCGCCATAGTCTAACATAAATAAGAAACTGAGAACGATGCCAGGGCTGTCTTAGGAAAGCTCACCTTTTTCTTCTTTTCAGATAATTCAGCCTCCTCTGGGGAGCAGTCACTGGGCCTGGAGAAGCAAGGAGCGCACGCAGCTGGGGCCGCGGAAGCCAGGCCTCTGGTTTCTGTCCCTGCTCAGTCTCCCAAGAAGGCAGGTGCAGGTAAACCGTGAAGGCCTTCTGTGAGAAAGGCCGCAGCTTGACCAGTTGGAAGGTCATAAACGCAGCTTCCTCTGAGCTTTCATCTGCAACCGTTCCTAGATATAATTGTTGGTTAATAATGGCCCCAATCATACCTACATCACAGGCTGTAGTGAAAATTAAAGAAGATGGAAATGGAGAATAAAATCCTCCTCAGTGGAGGATAAAATTGGGGAGGAGTGGCTGGGGATGGGGTTGGGCATTGAGGAGGCAAAGAGTGGGTAAAACACATGTGCAGATGTGGTGGGTCCAGGGCAAGCCCTGCAGGTGGCTCTTCTGGGTGCAGCCCCTGAGCTCCCCGAAGCTGGTGGAGCCAGAAAGAGGCAGTTTCCTACTGATTTGTGATGTAAGTGAACCAGTGTTTTCTATCCACAGTTTGCACTGTGGTATTCACAGAGTACTTACACTTTATACTCTTTTTAAATTTAATATTCTATAAACATCTTTCCATGTCGGTTGACATTTATCATGCATAATCCTTTGTGTGCACAGACACACTAATATATCATCATTTACGTAACTCTTGCCCTTATTCTGGGATGTTTCCATTTTTCCTAACAAATCTTGAGTACAGTTCTTAAAATCCACATGATATCAAAATTTTCAAGTTATCCTTTGCTTTTGCTTAGCATGTAGGTGCTAAATGATACTGTCTTTCGACATGTGTTCCTTCAAACATACGTGTGAGTCACTTTTCTCTGTGTCTGCTTTCTGTGTGTCTTTTGTGCATTTTGTACCTGCTTTTCATTCCTGGGCCTTCTGTGCTGCTGTGGGGTTGCCTTCAGCTGGGCTCCTTGATTTGCATAGTAGGACATCACCCATACTCTGTTCCTGTGGCTCCATCCTCTGACTGCTCGCCAGGGATTTCTACCCCACTGTGTCTTCTCTTCATCTCTTACTAAACTTTCAACCAAAGCCAGCTGCTGCAGGCGGAAGGATGTGTAGTTCCTCTCCCTCTAAGCTCTATCCAGTTTTTCTGTGCTTCAGGAGGGGCCATCAGCAAGCTACATGCCTCACCCCTGCCATGCTGACTCGCTGCTTCCTTCCCTCTCTCTGAGCCATCCCCAGTCACACTTAGATGTTTAATCTTTATCAAATGTACCACAGAGAAGCAAATTTACGAAACCCTCTCTGTGTTTGCTGTAGTAATACCCCTAAATGTCAGTGTGCAAAGTGTTTTTTTTTTTTTTTTTTTAGTTCAACTGCCCTGCAAAAATGCAACATTTGAGAAATTAGGAACAAGGTAATCTTTTTTCTGGAAAGCTAATTTTCTTTTTAATTTAGAGAAATGTTTATTGTAGAATGCTATCTTTTCCATTGGGGGAGATGTGCAAAAATGTCCTTTTTAAAGTGAGAAGTTGCTGTTTCTCCTCATGGACAGTAAGACTCATGCGATTTCTGTTATCTCTCGTCAACAACAATATTTTTTTTGCTAGTTCTGATAGGTGCTATTTTTTAAAAATTATTTTTGCATTTTATTATTTTATTATTATCTTTGTTATTTACATTTTATTCTTTTACTAAGTGTACTTTTTGGGTAAGCCATCATAAATCCTGAATGGAAACAGTGTAGCGTGTTCATGTATATCCTTTACATGGAGAGACTTCTGTATTTTAGTGTTCTTTTTATATATCTTATAATTATACTCGTATACAAAGTATATGTAATTTTGGTGACGATATTTTATTCCTTTCTCCAACACTACGTTTTTGTCTTCTGTTGGTATTCATTCTGCAGAGACACTTTATATCATCATTTCTGTCGTTTTCATCTGATGATTCAGCAGTTAGAGAGTTACTCTGTTCCAGCTGGTCTTTGGTAATTTATTGAGGCTGGTGGGAAGAAGCTACATGCCTGTGGGCTCTGCAGTTTACATTCTACATTGAATGATGAACCTTTCTCCGGGCATGTTCGTCCTTTCGAGTGTCACCACTTAATGACTTAAACCCCAAACCTGCAACTTGTCCTGTACGTTTCTTTCTCCCCTTTCACCCGCGCACCATCATTTGGTTACCCAGTGCTGGAGATTTTTTTCCCCTTTTTGCCCCTTTCTTTCCACCCCTCCATACTGCCTGGTTTCAGACCTTCATCCCTGATGGCATATATTCCAGCGATACGTAACTCAGTGGTAACTCAGTAGTTTCAAGTCATGTCTGGTGAGAGTTTATGGTGGGAGGTGCTAGGTGGCGCCTGCTGTTCCTCATGAAAGAGCCCCGTTGTAATCTGTAATTGACTGCACTTTGCAGGCTGCATCACTCTCCTATCTGCCCTCGCCTCCCTCTGCTTTCCATCTTGCTGCCTGGTGATCTTTGGAAACACAAACCTAATCATAATGCTCTTTCTGCCATAACCTCCATTGGCCCCCATCCTATGGAGGGTGGTTGTAAACATCAGCGCCTTCAGAGACAGGAAAGGGGCATTAAGTGGACCGAGCTGGATGTCAGAGAAGTGACGGGAGAGGGAATGCTGTGCTAATGTCCCCTCTGAAAGGGGTGCTGTCTTCTGTTTCCTTCTGGGCCTGTGGGAATGTGTGCCCAGCTTGTCACATTGTCCAGTTTGTCGAAAGAAGCCAGTAATCCAGACTTGCATCAGGAATTTCAGATTTTTAAAATATTGACTTTTAACTGAATATTTAAAATGCACACCGATATTGTATGTGTTGACCTACTTGCAGTTCTTGGATTGTGCCATTTCTCGTGACCCCTGTGGTTGTGAATGTTCCCTCTTTTGTAAGAGCTACTCCTTCCCTTCTGGTTCAAAACCTGGCAAAATTAGATCCTTTTAAAATGGTCTCCCTGGTGGCGAAAGGGGTTAAGTGTCAGCACTGTGAAGCTATCAGCAGCCACTGTAGCATGTGTTTGATCCCCAGCCAAGTTGCTACACATGGCACAGCAGACCTCTCCTGGCTCCCCTGCTGCTCCCCTCAGTAGTATATTTCAGTAGATCTGCTTGTTCTGCTCCCTGCTCTGTCTCTGGTGAATCCTCTCACCTCCTGTACCTCTGGCCTGTACCCCAGTTCTTATATGCATAAATAAATAAATCTTAAAAAAAAAAAAAGCCCTTTAGCCTTTCATGACCCCAGCGGAGCTCTCTTGGTGCTCTCAAAGCTCCAGCCCAGCACTGGCTACAGTACATGGCATTACTTTGTGTTTTTATTCCCTAACTTTGAGCAAAGCTGTTATTTCTTCTTGGTAATCCTCATACTTGGTAGTTAAATACTTTTTGCCATATATTGAGTGAAACTTAGCGTTTCAATTCACTGAATCAGTATCATGCTGGTCTTTGTTGTTCTTTTTTCTTTCCACATGTATTTTTTTTTTTTTTAAGATCATGTTTTGTTTTTTTTAAGATTTATTTTTATTTATTTATACAAGCACTGGGTACAGTCAGAAGCGCGGGAGGGTGAGAGAATTCACCAAAGCCAGAGCGGGGAGCAGAGCAGGCAGAAGGACCGAAGTACACTGCTGAGGGGAGCAGCGGGCGGCAGGAGAGGTCTGTGCGCCATGGGGGACCCTCCTCTGGTGGCCGGGGAGCAGCCGGGGATCGAACCGGTGCTGCAGAGGCCGCGGGCAGCCTCAACCCAACGCTCATCCGCTGTGCCACCGGGGAGGCCCTCCACATGTACTTTTAATATTCAAAAAGGTTTTTCCCCAGGAAGGTGTTGTATAAGGTCAATGTCTTTATGGTGTTTCAACTTTAATCACCTGGGTCTAAAATGAACTCTTTAAGACTTATGTTCACATGTACAATAAGGTAAAGACTCTCCATCATTGACTTGTTTCTTGATTTCTTGCATTATAATTTGTTCTTGTTTTTGTCTAGGTCTTATATAGCTCTTACTACATGAATTCTTTCTTGGCTAAACATTTGTTTTGCTACTCAGTATGGGAACCTCTATCATTAGAATGCTATTAATGTTTAAAATATTTGTCTTTTGGTGACTTGTCTTTGTTCTTTTAATTGGCCTATTTGTTTTTTTAATATAAAATCATAGCTACAGAACTATTTGTCTTTTCTTATGTATTTCTGTTTTGTCTTTGTGTTAAATAAAATTGTAATAAAAAGATATTTTTGGATATTTGCTCATTAAATATGAAGTTAATTGTTGGTTTTAAACAAATGTTCTCTATTATAAAGAGAATAACATCTTCTATTTCTATTCTTTGGGAGCTTTTAGTGGGAATTGTTATCTTTTGATATAATCATATAATTTTAGTCCTTTAAGTCAACTAAAATGATTATATTAATGTCTTTTATGAATTGAAAGCTCCTTAGTAAACTCAACTTTATACACCCTAGTAAACTTTACTTGATGAAGGCATATATTATTTTATTTTTTTAAAAGTATTTGGCAACTTTTATTTTAGACCTATAGGTCTAAACATTCATAAGTAATACTTATGTCTTATATGTGTTTGCAACAATTTCCCTTTTTTGGTGTAAGCTGAAGGTGTAAATTTTGTTTTAAGTATCATTTTGAGTTTTTATATTGATTTATAATGTTATTTTTACTTTAAAAATTTTTCCAGCCTGTGCGTTTAAAGTGTGCAAGGTGATTGAACACATGTACATACTGTGAAACGATCACCACAATACGGTTAGTTAGCACATCCACCACCTCATATTTATTATTTTTAAAATAATATATTATTGTATCTTTTACCTCTTTATTATTAATTAGGAATATAACATTGTGGAAATTTCAGAGAATATAGAAATCTATTAAGTAGGAAATCATAGTGCTACTGTGTAGAGATAATCGCTGTTAGTGCTTTAGGATTTTTCTTTTCAGTCTTTTTCATGCACATGTTCTTTTTCTTCAAATTTATTTATTTACATATATTTTATATCATTGTTCATTTTTGTACAATATTCACTTTCTCCTCTCAGGTGTAGTCCCCATAACGTTCCTACCACCAATTTACCCATGCGCCATCACCATAGTTCCTTGTGCCCTTGTTTTGATGCCTCTCCTTCCCTCTCCCCTGCAGAATGTCTCTGGTTTATAATTGCCTGTTAATTTTGGTTTTAAATTTTTTATTATGATTATTTTTCTCCTCATCCCTTATTTGGTTCCCCTATAGCCCACTATAAGTGAAACCATCCGATGTTTTTCCTTTTCCTTCTGGCTAATTTCACTGAGCATAAACCCTTCCAGCTCCATCCATGTTGCTGCAAATGGCATGAGTTCATCTTTTTGATTGCTGAGTAATATTCCATTATGTATATATACCACATCTTCTCGATGCAGTCATCTATTTTTTGGCATTTGGGTTGTTTCCATATCTATTGTAAATAGTCACATGCATATCCTTTAATATTAAGGGTATACAGAAATTCTTCAACTTATGATGGTGTTACATCCATCTGCATAAACTTATTATAAGTTGAAAGTATCCTAAGTCACACCATCATTATGTCTTAAGTCAAACTGTCGTTAAGTGGGGAACCATCTGTATCCAAAAATGGTCCACTGTAGTGTCCACTGTACAGTGCCTTCCTGATCTCCTGGCTGATTGCCAGCTGCCCCTCAGCTCTGCCCTGGTCACAGGAGAGCCTGAAAAAATCCAGATTCACAGTATAGTTTCTACTGAATGAGTGCTGGTTGCTTTCACACTATCATAAAAGTCAAAAAGATCTTTAAGTTGAACCATTGTTAAGTGGGAGATTATGTAAATACAATTTTGTATTATGCTATTTTGGATTGATACTATTTTGCTAGCATTTTCCTACATAATTGAAAGCATCACATTTAGACTTGATGACCGCATTAAATGTTCTGTGTATCGTTTATTTAATCATCGTTCTATTGTTGGGGATTTACTGTTAACTATGGTTTAGTACATAAATCATTGTCTGCATGTCTGCTTATTTTCTTCGACTACATTTCTAGATGTGAATATACTAGACTCCCAAAGTTTATGAAAATTGTCGTCCAGGGTGAGCAGTGCACACTCACCCTGTCCCTGAGCATGGCCCACCTCGGTGTGGCCAACAGCACGCTGTGAGCACATGCTGGTGAAAGGCACAGAATGCATTTTGTTTCCTAAGGGGTTCTTCTGGGCAAATATTTAGAAAAATACAATCGCCCTAATTGCTACCTAATTATATACGAAAGGCTGTATTTTAACCTATTAGTCAACAACATGCTTAAGTTTTGTGTGGTTTCTGAATTATGTGTTATTTTTATTGAGATTTCAAATTTAAAATACAGAAGGTTGTAACAGTACCAACAAAATAATTGATCTAGGCAACAAAGCACAGAGATACAACTGTAGATTAAAAGGAATTTCTGAGAAAGCACCAGACTAGCAGTTTAACCTGGTTTATAATAGAGAAACATTTCCTAGAACTGGAAACAATAAACTGAGCCCGAAGTTTAAAAGCATGTCCAGGGTCCTATCAAAAACTAGCATTGAAAACAATGAACCCTATGTAAATACTTTGATTTTTGAGCTTTAAAGGTGAAGAGTCCTCTAGGCAATTAAAACAGGGTAGATAACATTTAAAGAATTAATTTGGACATTGGAATCCAAATAAAACTCCTAAGGACTGAAATCTCTATCTTTGAGATAGGCAAAGCAATTATAAGAAATAGTAATACTATAGCTTCATTCATTGCATCTCTACTGTGTGACAAGTACTGTTCTAAGTCCTCTCGCTATGCTAAGGTGTTTAATGATCAGCATAGACAAGAGTCAGATCAATATTACCCTAACACTTGGCTACAGGGCTTCTGCCCTGGGTCTCTTTTAGAAAGCTTTCTGTTATGATTTACACCTGTCAGCCCAGGCAGACGCTTCCCCACATCTCTTATGCCGTGTCCTCGGCATGAAAGGTGACTGCTTCTGCCTTGCCTCTGCCTGCTGTGCAGCCTGTGGGTTGTACCACTGCCAACATTGGAACCATACTGTTTTGAAGTCTGGAAAGATTTCAGTGGTGGAGTGTGAGGAAAGCAAAACTGAATGAACTTGGTAAGTCCTGCCTTTCAGACAGTGTGGATGCTGCAGATTTTTAGAAAAATGAAATTTCTTTTCCTAGTAGTTTCCAGGTTTTGTCTTTCCTCCTTCACTATGTTCTGGCCAGTTGTTCTAGAAGGTATTCACACACTCTGTTGTATTTGCTGCAGGTGTACATGGTGGCTGCTTTGCACGATGAAACAATTCATACTACTTCTCAATAGTAAATAAGTAGCTTTCTGTGTAACCTGGGAGAGGCAGGCTATTGATTCCTGCCATTAGCAATTACTTGCACACTGAATGTGGTAACGAATATCATTTTCTGTCTTATTTTTTATAAAAGTATGGTGATGGTTCACTGGTGACTTGTTGATGGGAATTTTACGGGCACTATACCTCAGAGGAGAAATCAAACTTTGTACAAAAATGAACAATGGTACAAAATATATATATGTACATATATATATGACTGTATATATATATATATATATGCAAGGATACTACTAAGCATTCAATATTTTTATACTCTTTTCTTGCCTATATATATAAAAATATTGAATGCTTAGTAGTATCCTTGCATGTATTAAGTATTCAATAAATGCTATCAAAGGAAAAAATATTGTTAAGAGTTCATTAAAATTTAAAAAAACTAAATGGGGTGTTTCACTTTGGCTCATGGTATAGCAAGTGATAAGAAAAAAATCAGATAACCTACAAAATCATAACTTTTCTGGAGAGGACTGCAGTCGAAAGTCAACTGAGTTAACTGAAATCCAAAAAATGAGAAGTTTCTGCACAAAAGATGTGACATGAAAATGATTTTACCTTTGACAGAATGATGGGGAAAGACAAGACCCTCATACAAATGGCTGAAGCGAAATCAACTAAAATATTAATGGATTATTAGAGGCTAAGAATGAGCTAGCATGTCATTTTGTAATGTGTGATAGTGGAGGAAAAAACTGAGAAAGCTATACAAGAACAACCAAAGCAAATAGACAAGGATTATAGGGCGCCTCTCCCAGACACACACTTACCAAAGATGAGCTTCTCTCCATATCAGAAATGTCAACCAATGCAGCAGAAGATAAAAAGAGCTGTAGTAGCAAGTTGGATGGGGGCCTGAGGCTGACACTCTAATGCACTGCTGGAGGGAGAATACTGGATGGTAAGCTGGCAAGCTTATCAAAATATTTTAACAAACAAATTCTCATTTCACCAGTTTTTCAAGTGATAACAAAAGACGTGTAGAGGAATATACTTACAAAGTTGTGTGTATTTATTATAAAACTGTAAGAAAAAGGCACACTTACACAGGTCAGTGGGGAGAACTTAAATGAAGGATTCTTTCTAAAGGTGTGGGCAGGTTGGTGGAAACTGACAAGGGTTGGTGGAGTAGTCAGTCTAGCAGTGGTGGGGATACCATACCGCCCTGAGTATGAAGGTACAACAGGAGGGAGCTGGTACACGAACCTAGGAGGGTAGTCATAGGAGAGAACCTCC